CTCTCTCTCTCTCTCTCTGTAAATTCTTCATCTAGACAAATGCTAATTAAATTCATGTGCAAAGAAATTTGCAATGATGCAGGAATTAAATCACAAAGGTGAAGTAAAACAAGACAGGTTTCCCCCAAATGAGCTTCAATTTAAATGAGCAATTTTTCATTATCTCGCAGTATTTGTATAGTTTGCCACTTGAGAAAGCATAATGCCCAGCTTATTGTTCAACTTAGTGATGGGTTCTTATCTATCTGTGTACTTAGTGCAGGTGGCAGGGATGGGTGAATCTGTCAGTTTTAGTTTCTCTCATGTTCTCAATCATAAGCTCATTTCTTCACATATCCATGTCAGGGTTTTTTTAAAATTTAAAAAGTTGTTGAAAATTCATCACTGAATTTCTACTAATATACACTTATTTGTATTTAATTTTACATAAACACATTTTTGCAAAGCAGTTTTCCAAAATATAATTCATTTTAATGTTGTTTTCTCCAATGTATGTATTTTTGCACACAGTTCTACTGGGCAGGAGAACTGCATTGCAAAATTCAGAGAAGTGCAAATTTCAAAGAATGTGTTTTAGTTTGCATCTTGTTAAGGAAAGTGTCCTAGGTAAGTTCACCTTTAAATGCAAACTGAATTTCTCATACATGCATAGCAGGTGAACTTTTGTTCTTAGCTAGCATTGATGCATAACCATATACATAAGTCGGTACGAAATGCCAAATCTATTATCCTAAAGTGTTAGAATGGGAGTTCTTACTTAGTCCGTAAAGCAATTCACTCAAAAGGAAAACATCCTCAGGAGACACTTTTCAGGGGATTCTGAGGGCTGCAGCAAAGGGGGCAGGAAATTCCCCTTTCACAGGCTTCTGTTGGATATAAGCCAGTGTCATTTGCGATTAGAAGTAGTTTCTTGGCACAAATTTTGAAAAGGATGAGCACATGGACTTCCCCATAGTTGGCTGCAGAAAGAGGCCCATTTCCTTCCTTTTCCAAAATTACCAAATGGGAAGACACATTGGTTTTGCTTGCATGTACGAGATAAAGCTTTAATAAAGTCACTAAAATACTGGATTCATTCCTCAGAAACAGTAATAAGAAAGTGGTAAATAAAAAGCATGAAAAAACAAAAAGAGGAAGAAGCCAAGTGAAAGGAGAATAAAGCGTCCTTTTTTTCTTTTAAAGACAGCCAGCTCAGACAGAACCAAAAATCATTGTCTGCTGAGGAAGTATTGCACATATTTTGCAGAAATGAAATCAGTTTAGTCTATACCACATGAAAAACCTGAAACTGGAACCCTGAAACAGGCTTACTTTTTTTAAAAAAAATGTTTGTGCATACATTCAGCATTTATCCCTCAGTATCCAGAGCAGTATAAGCAGTAAGCACCTGATTTTCCTCTTCCTAATATGTGGAACAGGAACTTGTTCTGTTTGGAACAAGATGAAGAATCAACTCAGGTGTAACTGAGACAGCCAAGTCTGTAGCCTATAGACTACAGCTGCCATATGCACATCAATTACCTATGTTAAAAAATGGAAAGGCAGAAAGGGAGCTTGAAGAGAAGATCTGAAGGAGCGTCTCCACCCGCATCGTTCAGCCCAGACACTGAGGTCTAGCTCTGAGGGCCTTCTGGTGGTTCCCTCTCTGTGAGAAGCAAAGCTACAGGGAACCAGGCAGAGGGCCTTCTCGGTAGTGGTGCCCGCCCTGTGGAATGCCCTCCCATCAGATATCAAGGAAATAAACAACTATCTGATTTTTAGACGACATCTGAAGACAATCCTTTTAGGGAAGTTTTTAATGTTTGACGTTTTATCGTGTTTTTAATATTCTGTTGGAAGCCACTAGAGCGGTTGGGGAAACCCAGCCAGATGGGCGGGAGATAGATGATTGATAGATAGATAGATAGATAGATGATAGATAAGCACCAGAGCATCCCCTCTTCCTTCTGTATTGGTAATGCCTCCATACATCTTTGCATCCCTTCCCACCAAAAGCATGCAGCCCCTTCTTTTTCGAGGCTTTATAGGCTGAGAGTTTTAACTGCCAAGTACTTCAAATATTTATGATAATTCTATGACATTCCTGTACCTCTGGCAGTGACAGTGGTGGGTCGGTGTGCAGTGGGGGTACAGGGTGGATTAAGAGAAGCCAGAGCACTTACAGGTTTCAAAGCGACTAGACAGGTTTTCAAAGATGGCATCTTGTTTTCTTTCTTTTCACGTTTGTGAGACTTTTAGCAAAACTGATATTTGTTTTGCTGATCTGTGTTTTGATTTGATCTCTCATGCAACTTGCTGTGGCAACAGCAAGTGCCCAGACTACTCATTCAAATGCCTTCTAATTAATTTTAATACAGACAAGTGGGGACTTGCAACAATTCACAGCAGGTAAAGGCAGTGGAAAGGAGATTTTTTGTTGTTGTTCAACAACTTGATTCCCTGAGTGGGTTTGTTTGTTTACAGATTCCCATGAGGCTGGCAGACAGAAAGTTCCAGCTGCTGCGCCCCAGAAGAACCCAGGATCTAACAGCATAGCAGCAGTGGATGCTGCAGCAAATGTTCTGCAAATCCGATCCCTGGTTGCTTTTATTGGGTGTTAATTGTCTTTAAATTCCTTTAAACAATCACATGTTTTTACACTGGGCCTAGAAGATATTGAGGTAGAACAGTCTTACAGCAGTAGCAGTAGCTCTCTTTTAGCTTTTAGGCAGCACTAAAACATTCATTACAAATTTTGCCCTTGCCTGGGTGACTCCATCTGGCACACTGCTCAATTCATACAGATTAATGTGGGAGGTATCTAGTGGAACTCCCTACCTGTTGACAACAGGCAGGACCCCCTGCTGTGCTCTATCTGGCAGCTGCTTAAAACATTTTTTTTTAAAAAAAATATTTTTGGGCAAACCTACCCAGACATGTAGAATGCAGACATGTGCTTTGGTCTCTTTTTGCTTACAGCTGATTTAAATTTCTTAAGAATTGTTTAACTGTCTTTTATAGATGATTTTAATGTTTTTAATCGAAAGGTCAGCGGTTCGAATCCCTGCGGCGGGGTGCGCTCCCGTTGCTCGGTCCCAGCGCCTGCCAACCTAGCAGTTCGAAAGCACCTCCGGGTGCAAGTAGATAAATAGGGACCGCTTACTGGCGGGAAGGTAAACAGCGTTTCCATGTGCTGCGCTGGCTTGCCAGATGCAGCTTTGTCACGCTGGCCACGTGACCTGGAAGTGTCTCCGGACAGCGCTGGCCCCCGGCCTCTTAAGTGAGATGGGCGCACAACCCTAGAGTCTGTCAAGACTGGCCCGTATGGGCAGGGGTACCTTTACCTTTACCTTTAATGTTTTAATTTCAATTTTTGTAAATGGCTTATTAGTTTTATTACAATCAAACAGGATATAAATGTTGTGAAATAATAATAAAATTATAAATACTAATAAAATATACTAAGGTAATCTATGTTGTTACTCATTAATAGCCATGCACAAGTCTACCCATGACATCATTTGTCTTCACATGCTCCAACCCATGCTTATTTGTCTCTAACTTTTACATAACGGGCACCTTCAGACTGAATAAAAAGCTAAGAGGAATGACCTTATATGATTGATTGCCACACCGTTTCACTAAGAACAATGCCATTTTATACAAGCTGTATTTTCGCCACCTCTCCTCTCCTCTTGCCTAGACATTATGCTCAGAATAGCTAGGCTTAAAAAGTTCCTTAAAAAGTTATGTAATTATTATTATTTATTATTTATACCCTGTCCATCTGGCTGGGTTTCCCCAGCCACTCTGGGCAGCTTCCAACAAAAGATTAAAAATACATTAAAACATCAGTCATTAAAAACTTCCCTAAACAGGGCTGCCTTCAGGTGTCTTCTAAATGTCAGATAGTTGTTTATTTCTTTGACATCTAATGGGAGGGTGTTCCACAGGGAGGGTGCCACTACCGAGAAGGCCCTCTGCCTAGTTCCCTCACAGCGAGGGAACCGCCAGAAGGCCCTCGGCACTGGACCTCAGTGTCTGGGCTGAATGATGGGGGTGGAGACGCTCCTTCAGGTATGCAGGGCTGAGGCCATTTAGGGCAGTCATAGGCAAACTCTAGCCCTCCAGATGTTTTGGGACTACAATTCCCATCATCCCTGACCACTGGTCCTGTTAGCTAGGGATGGGTGGGAATTGTAGTTCCAAAACATCTGGAGGGCCAGAGTTTGCCTATGCCTGGTTTAGGGCTTTAAAGGTCAGCACCAACACTTTGAATTGTGCTCGGAAACATGCAGAAAACACCAACAGACAAAAAATTGTGCTGGTTCATTCTTCTTGTTTATTCTTTAAGTAGTTAAGCAAATACATACATTTACCAAGCAAGCTTTGTTTTCGTCACCGCCAACCGAAAATGCAAAAAAGGGGTAAGCATAAATTAAATGCGATGAAAACACTTAAAAATACTAGGCGGATAAGGTCTATTGAGAACCAAATCATGCCAATATGTCTCCTAGCAACAGACTTTAACCCTGTACAAATATTGTACTGCAGAGGAGGCCTCAGAAGAGGACTGATAGAAGCCAGCGAGGATGGTTAGGTATTCCAAGGAAATATCTGTATTGCTGCTTCTGCCTGTTGAGACTCCTACAGCTGCTGTTCACCAGGCCATTTTTTTAGAACAACATGCTGAAACATGACAGTTAGAACAAGATCTTCAAGTCACACTATTCTTCTGTGATGAAATGAGAACAATTCTGATTTAAAAATGATGTGTTTGAATTTCTAATAATCAAGGTGTTTAACCATAGCACTTTCTGTGCCTTTTATCAATTTGGACATGAAATGCCAATATATAGGTGGCTACATACCATTTGAGGTCCAAGACTGCTAATAAAGCCTGAACTGTTGAACAGTATATAAACCATTGCTAGCGAACAATATATCTTTGGGTAGAAAATGAGGACAGCACCTGCAGCAGCACTCTTGCATAGCAGCTCTTCCAGTAATTTATAGCTTACCTTCAAGGCTTCTATGACAACATCTCGGGCTTCTAGTTCCCCTTCAAGAATGCTAAATAGTGTCAGTAGTTCAGGTTTGCTGAGTTTGTCCAGATTCATCTTGAACACCTGGAGAGAGAGAGAGAACATTAAGCTAGATACTGTTTTTGAACAGCCAGCAAGCATACTTTTATAATGCCGTAAAGAACTTATGACATACAAGTTTGAAGTTTCCAAGGTCTCAGTCTGGAAGCTCCTTTAAAAAACACCCCCACCCAACACTTCTCCTTTTTTATGGCCAGCGTAATTACTTTGCAAATCAGCAATCCTTCACCGTTTCCCCTGGGTTCACAAGCATATGCACACCCAGATGGCCTGGGAACGACACAACTTTTAATACAGCAGCACTAGCAACCAAGTAACAACCCATTTAAGTAGGATAATGAGAGGGCTCATTAACCAAACTTGGCATTTAGACTATATAGCTAAATATCCCATTGAGAACCATTCTAAAGCCCTACAATTTTAAACTTAAAAATTAATGTTTGAAATACTACACAGAGTGTGGCAAAACCACATCCTACATACAGACACTCTCTGACAAAGTTTCAAGGCGTTCACTCATGCTGGAATCACTAGGAGTCATCCTACCTAATAAATTTGAAGCCCCATCTATTAGAAGTCACTACGATACCAATCACTTGAAAGCATATTACCCAAAGTCAGTTTCCTTGCACATTTTGAGTCCCACTACTCACCTTATTCCATCAAATAGTCAAAAAATAAATTACAGCAAGCCAGCATCTTGAAATTATGATATATCTATCTCAAAGTTTCTGTATGCTTAAGAGACTATTGCATGCAAAATGCTCCACATCCATTACCACTTTGCAAGTGATTTGTATTATTCTATGCTGATCTAAACAAAGACACATTTAGATTTGTTTAAGGCATAGTAGTGATCCAGCTGCTCAGAGAAGATGCATGAATGTACTGAAGATGTCATAAGAAACTAGGCCATCTGCTGAATTCTCACTGCATTTATTGGATCAGTCTCATACTGGAGTTCAAGATGAAATATTAGGTTCTTCAGCAGAACATTAAAGATGTCAAAGGCAGGGCAGGGAGAGTAAAGACACTGCTTGTCTCATTAGTGATTCTTCTCCAAATGAATGCATAAGTATGGCCCTTTGTGGTATTGTGGCAGCTTGAACCCAGCATAACTGCTCATTACAACAGTCATCATACCATGTACAGGTACATTCAGTACTGCAGATAAACAAGTTGACTGTCTAGGGGGGAGTTTAAACACTTTGGAAAACTCACAAACGCCTGCTTTCATAATTTCCAACAAGACCAGACAGACCTAAATTGGTACCGACACAACAGAGGAGGTGATATGTTGATCTTGAAGTTAACAGCCACATTTCCCTGCTTTCTGAACTCCTTCCCTCAGGCACACATTTGCACTGTTACTATAACTTCCTGGCAACTCCAACAGGCCCTTCAGGAAGGCACAGCTACATAAAGCAAAATATGATAGACCACAATTTACTTAAAAATACAGTGGTACCTTGGGTTAAGAACTTAATTCGTTGTGGAGGTCCGTTCTTAACCTGAAACTGTTCTTAACCTGAGGTACCACTTTAGCTAATGGGGCCTCCCATTGCCATGGCGCTGCCGCTGTGCGATTTCTGTTCTCATTCTGAAGTAAAGTTCTTAACCCGAGGTACTATTTCTGGGTTAGCGGAGTCTGTAACCTGAAGTGTCTGCAACCTGAGGTACCACTGTAAACCATTCCAAACAGTAGTACACCTTTGTCTTGGGTTTTTACATCTACCTGTAGAGTTTGATGAGTTGCATAGAGTTCTCAGAAACTTGACAAGAAATAGCACTTCTCTACAGAAAAGCTGTGAGATAGAAGTAGCAGCAAATGGTTGGTAACTGAAGTTCAGAAATGCTTTACTCAACAGCAGTAAACAGATGACAATATATTCCACTGATTGTAATATAAAAACCCAAAATCTGACAGATATTTTCATGTTGGGAAGGGTTGACATCTATACTGTAAGCTGAAGCTGCTTCTTGTTCTTATGAGCATTTCTACACCACACTATAATTTATACACTTGTAGATTTACTTTAGGTGTCTTATACTACCTACCTTTGAATCCATTTATTATTTTCACAGTTACTAAACTGAGAGTGGGCAGGGAACTATCCATTGCAGAAACATAGACCACATAATTTTGTGAGTATACTTTCTTCTTCTCTACCCTGCGGCTAGTAAGTTCTGTGCTACCCTCAATTTTTTAAAATGTCACCAAGAAATCCACACGCATTCTAGCCAGAGTGAAGCAGCACAATTATTTTGTGAAGACAGCAAACTTGCATTTCATTTGTAGGCCGAACAGGAATTACTGTCAAAAGCCTCCTTCATGTTAAACCTAAACAAACCATGACTATTGCATCATAATTCAATAAGAATGACATTTCTGAATGATATTGTTTCCACAAATGCACCAATCAGAAAAAACACTGATTGCAGCGTTTCTGAAAGGCCAGCCCAATATGTACCAGCAGTGAGGGTTTTTCTTTTTTAAGATCTGTGTTTGAAGGTTTTGCCTCAGATGCCTGGTGCTATTTCCTTGGCATAAACTACAATAAACAGAGGCCAGCATTTTCCTGCAATTATTGAAGATATTTCCTGTGCTTCTAAACTCTTTGACAACACATACCTGTTACTGAAACAAGGCTCCTCTGTGCACAAACCTCATTTAAATTCATTGTATCCAAGTAACTCTGGAATTTTCAGCACTTCAAAAACTCCCCTATGTGCTAGCTGAGAATATGCTGTCATTTTCATGTAATGTGGAATGTATTACTTCCTTGTGGTATATATGCAAACACAGCAATGTCTACAGAGGTTTACATGTATAGCACTAATTCAATTTATCTGTACAGTGGTACCTCGGGTTAAGCACTTAATTCATTCTGGAGGTCCGTTCTTAACCTGAAACTGTTCTTAACCTGAAGCAACACTTTAGCTAATGGGGCCTCCTGCTGCCGCCGCACCGCTGGAGCATGATTTCTGTTCTCATCCTGAATTAAAGTTCTTAACATGAAGCACTATTTCTGGGTTAATGGAGTCTGTAACCTGAAGCATATGTAACCTGAAGCATATGTAACCCGAGGTACCACTGTATACTTTTGAGATTAAAAAGTTATTTCCATTAATCTATTGCTAAAAAGTGTCCACAACCCACTTACTCTAGGGCAGTTGTAGCATCCTTAAACTGAGTAATTTTTAAGTAGACTGTGAATGCAGCCTAAAAACCACAACTCAGATTGTGTTTACCCAGATGTCAGAAGCCTCAGAAGAAAATTCAGTTGACGTTAATAAGTAAATATATAGGGCAGCAGCTTAAAAGCACAGTTCAATGCATGTCTACTAAGAAGTAAAAAATGAGTAAAGCATTGTGGCACATCAAAGGCTTTATGGCACAAAGTATTTACACTCTACATGGTATAGAATGCCAAGTATACAATGGGACTCCAAAAATGTTATTTAGGCAGCAATCTTATGCCCACTTACCTAGAAGTAACTCACAATCACATCATGCAATGTCCATCTCAAGTCACACTTCAGTTGGGTCCAATTGCTTACTATAAAGTTTCACAACTCAGAACTTTGCATATAAAATCTCAGAGATGCAATTTTCTTCATTTGAGAAAAAAACAGAACTTTCCCACAATCACTAACCCCTTATCTCTGTCTCGTACTAAAGATATGAAGAAAAATGAACCTGGAAAAATCTAAAAGCCAAGTATGTATCCTTGTGCCAAATAAAAAGACAGTGGTACCTTGGGTTACATATGCTTCAACCCTGGCGATCAATGGGGTGACAGATGTCGCAGCCAGATCGCCCTCACATCCAGGGTTACATATGCTTCAGGTTACATACACTTCAGGTTACAGACTCCGCTAGCCCAGGAATAGTGCTTCAGGTTAAGAACTTTGCTTCAGGATAAGAACAGAAATTGTGCTCCGGCGGGGTGACGGCAGCAGGAGGCCCCATTAGCTAAAGTGGTGCTTCAGGTTAAGAACAGTTTCAGGTTAAGAACAGACCTCTGGAACGAATTAAGTACTTAATTTGCTACAGGTACCACTGTAGATTATTATTTTCCCATGCTGACTGATAGCTATTTAAAATAAAGGTCTTCATTTTTTTAAAAAAAAAAAGAAGAAGAGGGATTCATTCAGCAACAGCCATATAAATATCTGTATGTACAAATCTGATATTTTTTGCTCAGCCTGCAGGTGCACAAGAAATCCAATTAAATGACTTCTCAGTGATTGTAAAGACATTCAGTACTTTCTAAGTACTGATATGGTAAAATCACAGGCTCCTCTACATTTATAGGATGTCTGTGAGGATGCAGTTTTTGTATTTCTAATTTTTTTCTACAGAACTCTTGATAGTGCTGCTACCGCTTTGCTTCAGGTTTAAAATGCAACAATAATCTTCACTGTCTTTTGAGAGGTATTTTCAGAACTTTTATTGAGAAGCAGAACTCCAACTCTAGGAAAGGTACTTGATGCACATTCTTTCCATCATCAGAAAGACATGCCTGTTCTTTTATTTATTCTGTCACCAATTCTCTTGCACTTCCCTCTTTGCTGTCCTGTGAATTTCCAGCACTGTTCTGAGAATCAGCTAGCAATGATGCCAAGTGATAGATCTAAGCCAGCACTTTGTCCATTAAAGGCAGAGTTTGCAACAGTCACATCTATGGGGCCTGTGAATTGGAGGCTGTTCTCAAAGAAATACTGTTCATGAATATCACTCACACAGGCCAGGCTGTGTGACTTGGAAGCACCTAAAAAGAGACTAGAAATAGCTAACTGGTGCTGTAAATAATGAATGCTTGGATTTATCAAGCCAAATCTGGTTCACAGCATCAGCTGGCATGTATCTGCTCACATTCAGCAATGGAAGCAGAACAGATATGATCGGAACTACTCTGTGTATGTTTGGTTTTTTTACTTATAGAAGAGGGGTAGCCAACACTGTGCCCTTCACAAGTTTTGGACAATTCCCATCTGCTCCAAGTAGTTTGGCCCATGGGCAGGAATGATAGGAATCAAAGTTAATAACACCTTAAACTGATGAAAGTTACTCCTTGCCACCAATGAACTTGCTATGAATGAGGTCTTTCAACGGGAGGGCAACCCATCTAAAACTGGTTGAAAACCTCAATCAAAATCAGCTTGCTTCCTAAACCATGGTTCCTTCAGCCATGGTAATACATTCATCCCAACATAAGAATGAAACAAAACCAACATCTTTGGATGTGGGGGCTCCTCTTCAGACATTTGTGTGTTTAGTGCAAACATACGAAGAGGATTTCTAAGTGCATTTGGTTGAACAAGTTTAGAAACCTCCCTGTGACTGGGATCCCAGTTAAATCAGAAACGAAAAGCTTGGATAGCTCAGTTGGCTAGATAGAGCATGGTGCTGATTGCAGGTTCGATCCCTGTTTGGGAAAGCTGCATATTCCTGCATTGGGGGGGGGGTGGACTAGATGATTCTCAGGGTATCTTCCAACTCTACAATTCTATGATTCTATGAAGATGAGTCCACGCACTTGAGGTGGTTGGGTCAGAGCTCCAGATAAAATGTTTGAGCACAGCTTATGTCTTACAGGAGGAAGTTTCAACTTGTTTGCCTTCATCCAGCATGAAGTGATGGGCAGAAGCAGGGATTTAACAGTTTGTTGCCATCTTGAAATTATCAGAGGCACAAACCCTGAGTAAAATATAGATAAATGGCAGCACCCTTGTTTCATAAACCATATAGCTAAATGGCCATTTTTATAGAAAGCTGCACAAAACCTACTGTAGCGTACAAAGTCACTGCTGGTTTACCTTCTTCAATTCTCCAAACTGAAGACAGTAGCTTCAATTCGTTTCTCACAATCACCCCCCTAATAAAGAGCTTTTTTTTTCAGTTCACGTCATATCATATTCTGGAGATTCTAACTGGATATCATTCTGCCTAATCCAGGAACTGCTAAACATTTACTCTGAGATACAAGCTAGCATTTCAAGGGCTTTCCGCATTCATACTGGTACATACTCTTAGTAGTTGCAAATGAGTGAAAGGCAGCTTTTGCAAATGAGTCAAATAGAGCCTTTACCAGGAGTAGGAAATGGACTGCTCAGTGTCCCCCCAACCATTCTATATCTATAATAAAATAATGCAAAAGGGGACCTTTTACGTGACATGGCATGAAACCCAGAACTGAATCAAGGGCAGACCACTTGGACTTCACGAGCAGGAAGACATACGCCATCCTTCAGGAGGCAGCCATGCATTCTGATTAATTGTGCAAAGTTACCTCCCATGCACATGAACAATTGTTTCATTCTCACTTTCCTCCACACCTCCCTCCACCCTTACTTTACATCTTGGATTTCTCAGTCAGAAGGACTGTAAGAAAAAAATTCAGTCTGACACAACTTGTTTCCAAAAGAGGCAGACAGTGTTCAGTGTGGAAATCCCCATTTTAGTCTGCCTGAGGTAAGCCAGCTGGAGACAGCAGCAACAATGAAAGCTGGAAAAGGCATGGGGAAGTGAAGAACACACAAGATTATCTAGTGGTGTCCTAAGATAACATTAAAGCCATTAAAGCTATGTCACTAGTGGGTCCTGGAATAGTCTGTTGCATTATGGGATCTTGAGAATTATAATTCTGAGTGTAATCCAGATCACTGTTTGCTGCCTGAAACGTTTAGAATGGCCATATGGCCATCTGGTTTCTTTCCATTTCCTCCATTGAAGTCACTGGCATGCGTGTAGTGTTGCACGTGAACAAACTATAGTTGCTGCAACATTTCTGCTTAATATTAAAGGCACAATAGCCAAAGCGATGAGGATAACAAATTATCAAATTTACAAAGTGCATAATAGCAATAGTTTTGGGTGGTGGCAGTTAAAGAGATCTGCAGGAACATATTTGTATTATTGTAGTCAAAAGGAAATACATACACATCTGTTCATGAGCATAGGAATTAAAAGTTTTAAAATCATATTCTTCAAGATATCCAAATCAGAACCTTAGTCTTTGTTTCCTGCCAATCCAAATGAATTTACTGCTAGCAATCGTTAGAAATATAACATCTTCATTTTTAGAAAAAAAACTAGAACATACAACTAATTTCCTATACAACAGTGTGTTTGCTTTTAGAATTCCTGCAAACTTATGCTGTCAGTGCTGTTATGGGCTTGAACACACCTTCAACAAACACAGATTCAGTATAGCAGTGGCATGCAAGAGCAATAACTTTAAAAGAAGCAGAGATATTGGAGGTAGTGGCTAGAGTAAGTTACAGTGATGGCAAACCTTGAGGAACTATATCATACATTAATATTGATTTTTGAAAATACTAATAAGTCAGTTTTTAATTACTAAATTAGTAATCCCATTACTCAGAAGAGTTTTCTAAATAAATAAAAAATCGTTCTAGGAAGAAATGCTTTACAATATTCTCTAATGTCATACAAAACTACATACCACTGCAGGTGACATGTAAGATCACTATAATATTAACTGAGAGGATGTCAAAACATAAAGTGATTGCCAGAAGCCTTCACGGAGTCATGAATAAAGTTTGACATACAGTAAACAAATTGTCATGTACTGCAAATGTTTCAATAGTCCAAAGCAGCCCTTTATTTAAGCAGTCAATATAAATACTTTCTATTTTTGTTTCAGCCATTTGCTTTTCCTAGTCTCGATCTGTTTCCAGAAAGAAGTCCTATCGAACACTATCCTGGCACCCATTAAAAAGAAATAAAAACCCTCAATTCTTTTCTGATACTTACCAAATTGTTTTCAAGCAGATCTAAAACAATCCAAAACCAAACATTTCATACAGCAATCCTCTAAAGAAGTCTGTGACCACAAGGTTTATCTGACCTGCTCCTGCCCAAAACATACCTTTGTGCTCACGGTACCCCACAATCACCAGTAATTTTCATTCCCCCCTCTTTGTTGTTATCACACCAAAGACTCATTTTATTACTTAGAACAAATAAATACACATTCCAAACACGCTTTTAAAAACTTGCTCAGCTTGTGCATGTGCAAAGTGCTTCATGCTGTATCACCAAGCTACCACAACCATCTTTACACTTCTGAGATTGTGAGGATTCTCAGTAAAATCTTGATCAGCAGCACTTCTCATTTAGGAAATTAAATATGGATTACAAGACAACCAAACCTTAGAATCTCTCTCTCACATACACAGAGCTCCCAAGTCCCAGACATGCAGGGTCATTTCACACATTATATAGTTGTAATTGTGTTTTCCCATGATAGGATCTGTTACAACTGTGCAAGCAAACACTAATTTTTGCCAAATGTACAAGTTATTTTTTGCATTAACTTTTATTGATCATCAGTTGCATTTGAAGGTTCAGACTGATCTCTGAAGGGGCCCTACACCCAGTTCCCGCTTTTCCTTTCGGGACTTGCTCAGTGCATCCCCTTCTCCCTAGTACCTGATGTTCTAAAACAAGGGCAGGGTAACTTTTTCTGCCAGAGCGCCAGATTATTACCATCGCTCTGAGGGCCAAGTAGACGAGGCCAAACGTTAAGGGGGAGCTAAAGCTGAATGAAAAACAGAGCCTTTAAAAAAATAAAAAAAAAATAACCAGCATCTCCAAACGTAAATGCAAAACACACAGAGAGAACATTTTTAAAAAATGAGCAGCTGTAGTCTTAAAAAATAATAATCAAAAGCTGTGCTCTCTAACCAAACAAACAGAGAGAGCATTTCAAACCTGCCGCTCCAAACTTAAACGCAAAGGAAGCTTTTCTAAGCCAGCAGCTCCAAACTTACATGCAAGGCAACGCACAGAAGGCAGACAACGCTGAAGTAGGCAAGCTCCCGATGGAAGACTTTATCAGTGACCGAGTGAAACAAAGCAAGCAGCCTTTTTCACCGGGTGGAGGAGGGAAAAACACACAGAGAGAAACAAGCAGCCTTTTTCCCCCCTCCCCTGGGTGGAAGGGTGGGAAACACGCAGAGAGAAACAGGGAGCTCCCTTTCCTTATGCAAAAGGGCTCAGAGAGGGGAGGACCCGGAGAAAGCAGCCCTTACCAGAGCGATTCGCAAGGAGTGCCTTCTCCAGCCTGGCCTGAATGCAGGAAGGAGGAAATAGCGACGTCTTTCTGAGAGCCCAGGGCGTCCTTAGCAACCACCTTAGCGACGGCCCCTCTGGCGCCAAATTCAAAAATGCTTCCAGGTAAAGCTTCAGTCTTTACCTTGCTTGGCAGAAATGCAGCAGTGGAGGCTTTTCTGTCCCAACCAGTGCTGGATTTACGTATAAACTAAACAAGCTGTAGCTTAGGGCCCCACTCTCTTGGCGCCCCCCCCCAAAAAAAGCAAAGGGGGAAAAAACCCAGGATGTACATTTCCAAAATATAAGATAAAAAAACAAATAAAATAAAATCTACATACAGCAACAGTGTTTTGTGTTCTGTAGGCTCCTATGATGTAAGTAATGGGCCCCGCCTGCTAGCCTGCTCCCTAAAATATCATTGATTTGTTCATACCATATAGCATATATTCAACACAAAAAAAGCGACAAATTGTTGTTGACAAAGGACAGCTGGACATACAGTATAAAGGGCCCCATTACCTTCAGTAGCTTAGGGCCTCATCAAACCTAAATCTGGCCTTGGTCCCAGCGCTTCAGCAAGCAAAAGAGTCTGTAGCATTCTGTGGGGGGGAGGGGTTGCAGCAGGACTGGGCATAGGAACCAAGCCCTAGGGGCCAAGGTCCCTTTGCCACCCCCCCAATAAAATATTTGAGTCCCACCCCTGTTAATGGGCATTGCCATTCAAATGGTGTGTGTGTGCTACATCATGCAATCGATTATGCAGGGTGGAGCTTACCTGCCCCCCCCCATATTTTTGATGAGATTTTTGATGACACGCACCTAAAAGGTTTATCTGGAAATACTTCCTAAATTGAAGTTAAGGCCGTTGCTGATGCAATTGGTAAGTTCGAGTCTGTGGTATCCCTTCTTACATGGTAAGATATCCTTTTTGAAGTCAATCTTACTGCAAGCTACTACAAAATTAGGAAGATGGTTTAAATTCAGCTACAAACCAGTTGCAAATGACCAATAGTTACCTTGTGGTCTGCAAGTGTGATGAAAAATTTTCCAGCAAGTTCTGATAGGTGCTACTGAGATTGCAAAGCAGCTAGAAACACTAGTACCAAAAGAGACAGAACAAGTTAGAAAAGGAGAAAGAAACTGAAATATGAAGCCTTAGAAGAGGCACCACAAACTCCAAAGAAGAAATTCAAAGCAGGTTTCCACTCTTCTGTCTTAGATATGGCCATACAGTTCTGTGGAAGAGAGATTCCAACAGCTACAACAATATAATTCTCTATCTGGCTTCCTGTATGATATATACAGTATCAACAAAAAAACTGCCTGAAGATCTACTTAAGGACAGCAATAATTTAGAAAAAAATCATTGATGGACAATGGAAGCAAGATATTAATACTGAAGATCTGTGCTGTGAACTTATAGCTATAGCTTGAAGACTTCCAAAGTCCATGTTGCCACAAAGTGTACTTCTTTTCACACTACAACAAAAACTCCTGGATAATTTGTCTAATGTATCTGTTGCTCTAACGATCCTTCCCACACTTTCAGTGCCAGTGGAAAGTGCTGAATGCAATTTCTCAAAGCTCTAATTTACAAAAACTTACATAAGCTCAACAATGTTGCAAAATATAATTGCTTGGCAACTATATAGACTTATCTGCTCAACAATGTTGCAAAATATAATTGCTTGGCAACTATATCAATTGAACACGTCCAAGCACCTGACCTAAAGGAATTGGTAACAAAATTGATGTGGCTGAAATGTAAACTTTTAAGACTCTTTACACCGCTAAAACATGTGTCCTAAAACATTTTCTTTTTTTATTTGAGAAAGACAATCAAAGATTGTTGCATTACTTAATCTTGCAATTTAATTTTGTTAGAAGTTTCAACTTTTTCCCCCTTTCATTTTCCCCCTACAATACTTTAAAAAAAATAAATAAATTGAAGTTAGCATTTGTGTGTGTGTACGCGCCAGTAGTTAGTCTTGCCTAGGGGCCAAAATAACCTGGCAGTGGCACTACCTCTAATTACCTGCACCCCTTTTAATCTGTTTTCAGGCCTGGTTTCGGCAGGGAAATTGCCTTGGCCAATGACAGTGGATGAAGAACATCCATGGCTACTAACCCTGATGACTGTTCTAACTCCACTGATAGAGGCAGCAATAGTTCTGAATACCAGTCTCTAGAAACAACAGAAGGGGAAGTTTCTGTTGCATTCAGGTCCTGCTTTCAGGCTTCCCACTGGCATCCATCTGGTTGGTTACTATGAGACGAGGACGCTGTCTAGATGGGCCACTGGTCTCATCCAGTAGGGACTTCTCATGTTCTCATGGAAACTCTTTTGTCTGGAGGGTGTTCTGCCAGGAGCAGAGGTTCTTTTTAGATTGGTACAAAGCAAAGAGCACACCAGTACTGTTCCTTGACAAACATTTAATTTGAGGCAAGATTTAAGGTTTAAGGTGCTGGCTTTGACCTTTAAAGCCCTATGCAGCCTAGGACCCTCGTATCTACGGGACTGCCTCTCGGTATGCCCCGAGGAGGACCTTAAGGTCCATAAATCACAACACTTTGGAGGTCCTGAGCGTCAAGGAGGTTAGATTGGTCTCAACTAGGGCCAGGGCCTTTTCAGCACTGGCCCTGACTTGGTGGAACGCTCTGTCACAATAGACCAGGGCCCTGCGGGATTTCACATCTTTCTACAGGGCCTGCAAGATGGAGCTGTTCTGCCTGGCCTTCGGCTTGGACTCACTCTGACCCCTTATATGGGATATGGTATATAAATTTTCCCTTGGCTTTTTTGCTGGCGCATGTAGGACCAGCATGGATAGTTGGCTCGGGTGAATATCTGATGTTTCCTCCCGTTATGGTCTTGATTTATGGGCTACTACTAAAATGAGGCTGCATTTTAAGCTGTATTTTAAGCCATATTTTAATTAACTTTTTAATTTTTTCTATTTTTCTATTACATTTTATTGTAATTTATATTCTGTATTAGCCACCCTGAGCCCGGCCCTGGCTGGGGAGGGTGGGGTATAAATTATTATTATTATTATTATTATTAGGAGGGATGAAAGAGGAAAGCAAAAGCCAGATAGCTTAGGTCCCTTCAGTTGGTGGAACTCTCTCAGAACAGCAAGAGATGGACTTATTTAATGACCAGTAGGTAGCATCTTTCATGGTCTTGGTCTACACTGAGGTGAGTTCCCAAGCTGCTTTCCTATTTTACATAAACATTGTCTGCGACTACATGACTATACAGCAGTGCTCCTCTAACAGGTGGCTAACACTGAAGCCCTGCCAAGAGCTGCCCCTGACTATAGGACAGATAAGAAATTAGCCACATTATCCGCAGGTGTCTGAACACAGGATAAGAGATGTGGCTGGCTAATGAAAGGGTCCCAGACCCCCAAATAAGGTCTGTGCACAAGAGGAGTCTTCCACATTTCTATCTGCAAGTCACTCTCTCATGCATCCCTCTCCCCAAATTACCAACAGTAATTGTTTATTTCTTTATGGAAGTATTTATATACCACCAATTCACTTAACATATCATACAGCTATTGCACTATGCATTGCATTTAATTTAACTCAGCAATGTTTCAGTGTTAATATATCACCCTGCTAGGAAATGCCAATGAATGCAGACCAATTTTATTTATGTAGAAGAACTGAACTGTAGAAAACATCCCTCAAACATTAGAAGCATTGTTTGACCACTCCAAAGAGCTGCTTTGTAACTCAGCATCTGGAGGAATTACCCAGCCAGCTGTCCTCTGGTCCAGGATCCACGTGACAGGAGATGAAAAACAAGCAATGGTTTAACCTATCCACCTTTCTGGACAACATGCCCTGATGTCAGCACATATTAAAAAGAGCCAGTGGCCTGTCTGGGCATAAGTAAAGATGCATGAAATGTTGTGCAGTGGTACCTCGGGTTACATACGCTTCAGGTTACATATGCTTCAGTTACAGACTCCAGAAACAGTACCTTGGGTTAATAACTTTGCTTCAACAGAAATTGTGCTCCGGCGGTGCGGCAGCAGCAGGAGGCCTCATTAGCTAAAGTGGTGCTTCAGGTTAAGAACAGTTTCAGGTTAAGAACGGACCTCTGGAATGAATTAAGTACTTAACCCAAGGTACCACTGTATAAACGAGGCTGTCATGAGGATCCTGTGTGTTTGTGTGTTGTGCTCAACTTTAGGAAATGTGCAAGATGGCTGAGGGCTCTTCAAACGTCTTCCTTAAAAATAAATAAATCTGTGCACTCAATCACAATGGAGCTTTTCTAAAGTTTTAAAAGCCTATCCCCCACTTAAATTAAAATTATCATTTTAGGAAGCCTTGTGGGGCTGCAAAGAGCCCTGTGATGCTCTGGGTGAGCATGAGGCTTAACAAATGTTTGAAGTAAAGGAAATGAACCTTTGGCACCTTGCAAGGATGCATCCCAGGCCTTCTCTATTGTGCTCAGGAATTGGGTGTGTGGGGTGTGTTTGATGGACTCGCATGCTCCCTAAAGGAGCAGGTTTGTAGTGTGGGGGTATTCCTGGCTCAGTGCTGACACTTGAGGCCCAGGTGACCAGCAGTGTGTATTATCAGCTATGGATCTTGTCCCAACTACAGCTGTTGTGGTGCTCGTTCTTGGAAGCTCACATCTAGACTATGGTAATGCAGTGTTCCCCAACCTTGGGCCTCCAGCTGTTTTTGGACTACAACTCCCATCATCCCTCGCTAGCAAGACCAGTGATCAAGGATGATGGGAATTGTAGTCCAAAAACAGCTGGAGGCCCAAGGTTGGGGAACACTGTGGTAATGCACTCTATGCTGGGCTTTCCTTCAAGAAGGTCAAGAAATTGCCACTGGTTAAAAATACATCTGCTGGTATATTCACAGGTGCATCTGCATATAACAACTCAACACCTATTCTGTGGGATCTGCACTGGCTGCCTATATAAATTCTACTGGGGCC